TATATATATATATATATATATATATATATATACGCATACACATATTCATGTGTGTATGTATATATGTGTATGTATATATAAATACGCACACACACACACTCATATATACATAGGAACACACAAACATATATATATATATGCACATAATATATGGCATGAGACAAAGTTACTGTAGCTTCAATATGAAACGTTTTGTGTGTTACCTTAATCTTACCTGTCGTAATTTATATTTACCCTCATATTGGGAATTTATTAGTGCAATATTTGTATAGCTGCGTCACACAAATGAAAATTGACTATAAATAATATATGCAAACATTCTCATCTACCTTGTCATAACATCCTTGACTGTTTTAATTATAGTCAAAGCACTCAGTAAACGCAGCGTAACCCCTATTATTTAATCAATGTCCCCATTGCAACAACAAAAAAATCGTTTAACTGCAAGACATGATACTTAGTTACACGCAAGGAGAACTTGACATTATAATTAAATGTTACAGTTTAAAATGTTACCAGTAACCACAGAGTGTGCTTCCCAAGTTGCGTTCTAATTACTTGGTAATGACTTGCGGGCATTTCATTTTACTTCATGGTTAGTTCCTTTGTGCGTTGACGAGTATGAATGTTCCTAATGTAAACAGGACTGCTATTATGGTTTATTGGTATTTCAGTGGTAAATGGTCTATCGATAATTGTACCATCCAGCTATTGATCTTTCACGCGTAACGTATTACGTTATCATAATAAGTGTCATTACTACGTTTTAACTGTTAATTTTCATGTTGCTACTATCGCATGTGTACATATCATAAATTAAATGATTTTCCCACATACAAGACCGACATACAACGAACATTCCTACATGTAGACTAGGCGTAAGCAGTTATCAATAGTATGACATTAGATATCTCCTATCTGAAACAGCTTAACTTTTCGCATACTCCAAAAATATGACAGTCTTACAATTGTGGTTTAATTCCTAAAAACACAACTTAAGTACCGTTTCAAATAAAAAAAAAAAAAATATATATATATATATATATATATATATATATATATATATATATATATATATATATATATATAATGCTATTGTGCTTACAGATGTGAAAGCTGAAGCAGACTCGAATACTAATTATATATATATGTATATATATATATATATATATATATATATATATAATATATATATATATATATATATATATAAAGATATACTAGCTGTACCCGGCCACGCGTTGCTGTGGCATAGTTTGGCTAAATGGAAACGAAAGAAAATAGAAATCGCACGTGTCTAATCAGATATAGAGATAGTCTTTGATCCCCCCCCCCTCATGACGACAACTAAATCCACCTACTACTCTCTCCCTCATCAAAGGTTTTTGGAAAAGAAAGACAATGGAAATCGCTCGTGTCTAATATAGTTAATGTCGCAATCATTCTCTGCACAGATATAGAGATAGTCTGATTTTCCAACTTTAGAACACACACAGTATAATTGTGTCTTTATATTAGTGGTCGTTTAAAAGGTGTTATTAGCACCGTAACAAAAATGGTTATTTGGTTGTCACATGCTAAAGCTGTTTGTATTTTTATAGGAGACGGAAGTAAAGCTACAACTGTACTTGTAAATACCAAAGTAAGTCGTAAAAAATAGAAAAGTGGAGGTAGCGTTAGTAAAAATATAAACAAATTAGGTAACGAGAACTTGAAAATCACGTGTAAAGCTCTTTAAGTTTTCTTAAATTCAAGTCATTACCCCCTCCCCTCTTCCACCGACTATTGCTCTCTCCCTCTTCAAAGGATTTGAAAATCTTTACCTGGCGATATTTGTTGTTGTTGCTGTAACTGACATTGACATTCCTGTCCATCTGGGCTAGCAGGAATTGTAATATGTAGTGAATGGGGCTAGTGTAATATTTACCACATCATCCTTCAAGTACCAGTACAACTACTACCACGACCACCACCACAGTAGCTAAAATAATGTCACTGCTATCTGTGTTACCATCGGAGTAGACAGAGAGTCGTGAGCCAGAAGATTTGGTTCCGCATGGCTAGTGCTGTCGCCACAGACTGGTCAGGTTAGGATGTATAATTTCGCTTCCCGACAGAAGAATGCCACAACCTTACCGGCGGTCTTCACATGAGAGCACTACGGTGTAACAGCCCAACCACAACTATTACTGCTGCTGCTACTTTAAGTGGGTAAAGCAGTTACTGTGACTTAAAGCTCTCTCAGTTAACAGTTTGCCCCCTCCCCCCACCCCCCCACCCCCCCCCCCCCAAATTCACCGACAACTCTTTCCCTCGTTGAAGTAGTTGAGAGAAAAATAAATCTTTAAAGCAAATTAAAACAGGAAAAAAAACACACACCATAATTAGGTAATGAACGCTATGGTAAACAGCACAGCTTAAAATTCCAACGCAGATGAAATAACTAAATCTAAATGAAAATAAATGGAAAGCTATGACATTTCAGGGTAACCATGCAATCGGAAAGTTTTAAAATGCAATCATAAGTATGCAAAATGGTCAAATTTAATTATCAAATGGTTTACACATTTACATTTTTTTTTCTTTTATTTTTTTTTAGTATTAAGGGAAACATGGCTAGTGCTGTCACTACGACAGAGCAGATAAGGATATTATTTTAGTCCGAGGTAAAAAAAAAAAAAAAAATTAACTACTGCGAATTCGAACCCTGGTCTCCCGCACCGGAACCCAGTGTTCTAACCATTCGACCAAGCAGCCACTTCATCGGAGCAATGAAAAGAGAATTAAACTATTAGAGATGTGTGTCCCTACTACTGTGTCCCGATTATAACACAACTCAAAACCGCAAGCAATTGTTTTCTCATAGACACATACTCCAGATATATAAATGAAACGGCACAACAATAGAAATCGCACGTGTCTAACACGGTTAATGAAGTTAATGTTGCAGTCGATGTCTGCGCCGACGTCGAGATAGTCCTTGATGCCCCCCCCCCCCCCTCCCCCGCCCTATCGAAGGTTGTTTGAAAAAAAAAAACAGAAAATAGAAATCGTGTTTAATATGGTTATTGTGACAAATATAGAGATAGTCTTGTTTGCTGTACCACGACCTACTCTATGTAATAGAGAAGGCGTCGGCTGCACGTATCTTGCCGGCGAATGGTGGAAGCCTTGCGTTCTGACTACGGCGCATGCGCAATTACTAACGTGGCTATAATTAGATATCACTGACAATTTAAATATTAGTTTCGAATATGTTTGCTTAAATTGTCGCAAACGATCTCTAACAATGACAGGTTGAATTTCAAACCATGATGGGTGAACATCCGGTATCAAAACAAACATATCCTGAAAATTTCAGCTAAATCGGTTCAGTCGTTTCCGAGTCTATAGCTCATAAACAAACACACAAACATTGATTTATATATATATATATATATATATATATGCATATATAAGGTGTGATTATTTTCAATTAGATTGTTAGTTGTATTACTAAAGTTGGTTAAGTATACAGAGAAATTGTTACGAACCCAGAATGCTACTGGTGTCTTCAGATGAGTTTTCCTTAGATACAGAGACTCGCTTCCCATTTAGTGGGAAGGACCCAAAAACCAGATGCGCGTATTAAGAAAGTTCTGCTATCTTGCGAATAACGGTCCTAAATTATCGAGGCGGAAAATATACCCTAACAGGGCCTCAGTCACATGTCAGTTGCGCACTTCCAGGGAATTTAACGCCACCATCGAATTGCGAACTTCCGGCAACTTCTGCCACCGCCAAGTATCCCAACGCCGCTCACGCGGCGTGGATTGGGGCTAAACTAGATGGCTGGGACTCACGAGCAAATAAAATGAAGGAAGCTGCAGGAGATGCGGTAGCTGCTGCTAGTGAGTCCCAGCCATCTAATTTAGCCCCAAACGTGGCGTGGAGGATACTCTCTGTGGTGGCGGAAGTCGCCGAAAGCGCGCTTATTTAATACGACGGAAGTGCGCCATTGACACGTGACTGAGGCCCTGATAGGGTATATTTTCTGCCTCGATAATTTAGGACCGTAATTCAAACGATAGCCGAAAGTTGATATGTTTGTATGGCACATATTTGATTCAATCCGTGCGAACGTTCGCCATTAAATGAGGTATTTGAATCGTCGCAGTAAAACATTAACGGGATGCCGGCAGTAAAATAGGTGAATGCAATGGACTATAATACTAACCCATACTGGAGCTCACACACTCGATCGAGGATTGATCAACACGATACGTGTACCTATGCTCGTGATTATCTATCTAAACAAAAATGTCTATCCCATATAAATAGAAAAATGTCATTCTGGTGTGAAGTTGTACCCTTCACTTACCATGTGCCCCAAAAAAAAGTTCTTCTTCTTCTTTTCTCTCACCTTGTACCTCAGTGAAGTGTGAGGGGGGGGGGGGATGTAATGTTCATAAAAAAAAGTTCTAACCCTAAAAATGCAATGACTGTTCAGGATACTCCTAATATTTGCATTTCCTAAAACGTAAGCTAAGTTTGTCACCCACAGTACAGATTTTGTCTGGCCGTTGACAAACAAGGCAGCCGCATTGAAGATAAATAACGTATGTATAAAACTAGAAAAAAGAAGTGAAAGAAGGTATGTATGTGTGTATGTGAGTTTTACCCCACAAGGATATCACATAAAGCAATAAACACCCGGTGACACAAAGTACCACCATGCGAATGAGGATTACCCGTGGAGATGTCCCAGAAATCCCGTTCAGCCGTTAAAATAGGCTTCCTATTAATCTTCTTAATGATCTATGCTGTTGTTTTTACACCCAGGTTCTGCTAGTAAAAGTTTCATTCTACATTTTATACTTTATAATATTTAACTCTTACTCCCCAGTTGTTGATGTTCACTGGGTTTTTCGGCCTTTATACATATTTTATGAACAGTTTCATGTATTGATTGAGAACACAAAAGACTTCAATAAAAGTGTCACTTATAACTTCAGTCAGATATGAATAATGCATCTGCAGTTTTAAATGAACCAAGCAGTCAGTCTATGCTGATTTTGGCAAGCAATGATTTGATCAGCAACCAGTCTTTGCATATATTCGTTTGGATCTTCTATGCGGGACTGACTCTGTTCATTGATGTTTTTGGCACCATGACAAACATAATCAACATTGTGTGTTTTATAAAACAAGGATTCAGAGATATTGTCAACATAAGTTTGATGGGTAAACATTATTACTTCCCTTTTTTTGTAAGAAGCTTAGTTATTTCAGATATTGATAAATAAGAAGTTGTTTTTATGTATAGGTCCCCTTTTCCACGCTTTTAGGCGTACAGAGCATATAGGGCTAGACCTATATTTTCATAGACCAATCGGCACAAGATGGGTAATGTGGTCAGAATCACGCCGGCTGCCTTTACTTCCCTTGACTGCACCCGGTACCCACTCGGGCTGGGTCGACCTGGAAATCAAAGTCATTAAAAAAAAAAAAAAGTCTGGCTCCACTAGGGAGCGAACCCACGACCTTTCGTTATACAGTTCCAAGAGCTGACTTTCCAAGTCTCACAGTTATTAAGAGAAACATCAAAAGAGCAAGCGAAGTGGGGTACCTAGGTATCACTTTCGAAAGAAGACTGTCTTTCAGGGATTATGTCGGGGTAGTTGCGTCGAAATCCAAAAATGATTCAGAGTACTTAGGGTTATGGCAGCAATGACCTTTTAACGGAGAATACTGTTCGCTATTCCAGTATCTGTTCCTCTTGGTGATAGATTATGGACATTGAATACACACATACAAAACTGGTATGGACTTTGTTCTTTTCAGTAACAACTTGTTTGTCAATGTTTCTTGCCACACATTAATAATTATTCATGTTAGTCATCGCATGTGGAAGCTATTTAGCCGTTTTTGTGTTACCAAATCCCGTTTGTTAATCTGCTCATTATTGCTGCTGCCTTAACTATCCCGATGATGATTTCTTAGTCCAATGAGTGTTGAGGATTGCAAATTCTGGATCTATAAAAATACTCAGCTTGCCTCCAACTTTTCTCCATCAATGAAGAATGCAAAGCTATCGCTACCACCTTGCACTACAATCTATGTCTTTTATTTGCTCATTGTTAGTCAACATTTAGCACAGGCATCAACGAATGCGGACAATAAATGTCGAATTTACGTTCTGTCTTGGTGATCATATTTTTCCCTACCCAAACCATAAAACAAATTGCTAAATGGCTTAACTGGTGCATTTTAGCAGAGGGTCATTCATGATTCACAAAATATGCATGCCAAACTGGGTCTCTACTAGTCAACCCAAGTTGGGAAGATTTTGTGTCACAATACAATGATTAGTATGCACACCGCTCTCTTTGTGTTTTTACTTCATTAAAGTCTTCTATGACTCTAGTCTTAGAGTTATTTTTAGTTATTTCAACTTCCAACGGTTAAACTTAAATTGTAATGAAATTATCACTTATATTCTTAGGACTGGCTATATCTGACCTCGGTTGTCTGGTATGTCTAATTTGGACGAACATCTGCTATAACCCATCTTTTAGTCAACTTGACTTGCCCTTTGAACCAATAGAATTCCAGTACTTGACTGGAGCCTGGCCTCACGTGACATTTACACGCATAACAAGCTGGATCACTGCCTTTATTACACTGGAAAGGTGTCTGTGTATAACGTTACCTCTGAAGGTATAATGTGTGTATTTTTGTGTGTCTGTGTATAACTTTACCTCTGAATGTATTATGTTTGTATGTTTCTGTTTTTTTTTATTATTATTTTATTTCCATTGTGGGGCTGCGGCTTAGCCGCGAAAGGGCTTCGTAATTGTAACGTACTTGGTTTGATACAGACGACTGTCAGTTGGAACCTTTCTGAGTCCCAGGGAACGCTTCACGCTCTAATTGCTACAACCGCCCAGCCCAATCAACGAGTTACAAGTGAAGGTTTTTAATTTACTACTGACCGGTCAAAAAAGACGACCGGTCAATTTCAACTTCCTTTCGAGTTCTGTGTGTCTGATATCAGGCGTGCTCATTTAAAAAAGTGGTATGAAAGCCCAAAAATATAGTATATTTTGAGCGTTTGTTTGAAAAAAAAATATGGCCGCCAAGTAGATTTCTACATGCATGCCAACATGATTTACGGCCTTAAAAGTCTCACATTCAAATAAAGTACGTGTTAATCGATGTATCCGAAGTTAGATAAAGTTGCAAATTAGACGTGTTTCAGTTATTCATAGAGGTAAACTTCGATGAGAGAATTTGTCTAATGTGTACCTCACGCGAAGGGTTCAAAGATTGCAAAGTCAGCTAGCATAAACATAGTAAACATTAGTGAAAAGACGATTTTCTTCAGTATCAGTTACTTCTAGTGCTATTTCCCCTTATTATTTAGGAACAAAGCTATACAATTACAGGATAACTGAGTGTTATATGCTCTTCCTTTTGTGAAAAGATATTTATTGTTTTGGGAGTCAGTTTTATTTACCAAATAATGGTTCTATGTTATAATGCTTCAAAAGATTTTTTTTTAACAAAAGATAACGTATAGATTGAGTTTATATTTTACCTATATATTACTAAGTGGTATATATTCATTTGTAGTTCATTTTTGATAAATTTTAACCCGTTTTCCTTGAGTTCCATGGTGGTAAGTTGAATTTTTCATATTTCATTTTAAAAATGTGTGTAAACATACCGTCTGTTTATGTACTTACATTTAATTACCAACGCAATTATTTGTATTCTATAATTATTCCCCAACAATCCCTGGTCACTTTAATGTATAAAAAGAGTATGTTGAGCGGCAATAATATTAGTATGGTCTGTTTTAATGAGTTACACATGTAAAATTTAAAACATTGCATTACCACCAATGGGGCCTCTGATGATAAACCCCTTGGGACTCAAAGAATTAATATCGGCATTTGAGTGGGCTAATCAGTATACATTTGCATTGTTAACCTTTTAACAGCGACTCTACCCCGACCCCCCCCCCCCCCAAATAGTTTGTTGGTTTCACAAGGTTAGTTGCGTATCCTTTACAGGACGTTGCAGAACTAATCTTAACAGCCCCTGTGTGGTTTATTCAGACACATTTTAGGTCCAGTAATTTTGATTTTACAAAGTTCTCTAAATCATACTGTTATATATTTTTTTCTTTCATTAGGTTAAAATGATCTTCACACACACAAGAGTGCTCCTGATTATTGTGTTTATCTTTGTGTTTCTGATATCAAACATGATTCCTCTCTACTACGTCAACAGAATGACGTGGAAATATTCCACCGGGAGAAACAGAACGCTAATTGGCTTAGTGTTCACAGCTGAAAGAGAGGCTGTGGAGACAGTGACATTTGCAATCAATAATGTGTTGCTGCAATTCAGTTCGTTCCTAACAGTCGTTGTGTGTACGGTTATCATTGTAGTCAAGTTGCAATTGAAGACTAAATGGCGGAAAATGTCTACGGCCACAACACAAGCGGAAACATCATCGTTCCGTGACCAGAAAGTTACTAAAATGGTCGTAGCTATATCTGTATTTTTCATTGCCTCCTTTGTTCCTCTTGGTATCATTGCTATTAGCGTTATTTTTGAACCAGAAATCTCAATAGAAGGAAGGTATAGAAATTTATTCATATTACTTTGTGGCATTGCCTTTTTCCTGGAGTCAGCAAATTCGTCGGCTAATATTTTTATCTACTATCACATGAGTACCAAATATAGAACCGTCTTTAATCTAATTTTTATGTCAAATAAGAGCATATTGTCTTGAGTTTATTTTTCATTTTATAATTCATACCCAGCTGTTTATCCCTTGTTCTAATGAAACATAATCAATAACGTAATGACACTTTTGCAATCAGATACATTTTGAAACATTCAAAAACTTTAATAAAATACACATTTTTCCTTTAAAGCGCATCACATAATTTTTGCACTTAAAATGAAATATTTATATGTGTGTGTGTATGTAATGTAAAATCACCATCTTTTCAAAATACATCTCAAGTGTTATGCCACGAATAATAAAATATAATGAAAAGAAATGTACAAATAATTGAACTGTATTTGAAAAATATGAAAAAATAAATCAAATGCATACAGATAATAGCTGAAACTTAAAATGTCAGGTCGAGACGAGAAAAATATATGGATTAATTTTTGTAATGCGCCCCACCAATTTTTTTTTTAGTTGTGCTGAAAACTTGTAAAGATAATTATGTTATATCATGTGTCAATAAATTTATGCATTATATTATTTTTCTTTCTTATTCTGTATCTTTCACATGACATTGCAGCACCAGACCCGGAAATGTTTTGCTTTTTTTGTTTGTTTTCTAGGCAATTTTACAATTAACTCAAAACACCCTGCTGTCAAATTGCTCGCAGCTGAAATTTGATGGGAATAATTGAATTATGAGGCGCGCAAAAAAACATACACGGACATGATGACAACTTATTGGATGTTAAAATTTTGCCTTCTGCAGTATCAACTGCACTTGAGGAGTTAACTAGCTGTAAATAAAATACTTACAATATGAACATGCAAGCAGGGTGTGTTACTTTTTGTGTGTAATTGGAAAAAAATATATATATGTCAATGTAACTGTAGAGGGCGGTTATAGGGCGATATAGTGGACTAGGGTGCAATAACTAACATACGACACCGGTGGAGACAAAGATGAAAATAGGACCCAAGATAAATACTATAGTCATTTTGGAAATTGATGCCAGTGTTCACAAAATTATATCTCAGCTGTAGTATAATATAAATAGATGAAATTATTTACTAATATTTACTTTATTATCAACGCAATGTCAGATTTTTGTTTTTAGCATATACAGTAATTCTAATGCATTTTTTGCTCATTTGAGGTGTATAAATATACGATGATCCTTGCTTGACTGCCTTTTAAGAGTTATACAGCACACATTTCAAATGCAGAGGTAAGAAAGGCAGAGGCAAGCCAAGAGAAATGCTTGACGGCCTAAGGCTATCACATGGAATAATATCAATGGATTTTTTTTCGGAATACCAAGGACCAAGATCTCTTTAGAGACATGATCTACTGTACCGACTGCAAGGTCACATGATGATGTCTTCCTTTACAAGAAGTGTATACGCACATACTCACAGCAACTTTCTCCATAAAAAAAAAAAAAAAAAACACATTGCTAGATTAACTAATAAGGGGGTGAGAAGGGAGTGG